TATACCGGCCTTATATAGGGCCTCAGATAGTTTCCAGAATCTTCTACTGTAGCGACATCTAGAATGTTCGAGTACATATCGGTCCCGAAATTTCTGGAAGGATTTTGACTCTCCTAGTTCTGCTACTCGACACTAGAGGGCGCTAGTGTAACTAGTGTTGCCATGTACAAGACATTAATAGTGGCGCGCAATATTTTCATTTACTCGACACTAGAGGGCACTAGTGTAACTAGTGTTGCCATGTACAAGACATTAATAGTGGCGCGCAACAATATTTTATTCCAAATTAGGCATCTGAATGCACTTTTTGAATGCCAATCTAAGAACATTAAATTGTATTCAAGTGAGTCTTTGCATATAGAATGTCACTTAAATATAACTTAAACATTTCGTAAAAATCAGTCTAAGTACAATTTCCTGCATTTTAATATTAAAAGTTGGATTACTGGGAAAAATAATTGAATTCTAATTAGGGCCCTGTCTTTTTGTTATTTTTATGAGATTTACTTGACGAGAATACGGCCTGTTCTCAAAATGATTATAAACTATAAAAGTAATATTTTGCGATTAAAATTTCTTTATGTCTGAATGTAAAACAAATTTCAGCACCTTCGTATGATTATTTTACCAATACTGAACTCTACGGACCTTTATATTTTTAGTTCACATGACACAAAGTGTCGCCATCTAGTGTCGAATATATTTAATTATATTTGAAAGCCGATGCAAAGAGATTTTTCTAGAACTATTTTAATAAATTAGGTGTAAAATTATTTACAAATGAAATGTGATGCCATCCACAACATCAGAGCGTCTATCTGAGTAGTTTTTACACAATAAAACACAACACTTCATCCTTTTCTTCTTAATACTACGAAAATACAACGATTTGCGATTTTGTCAACACATAAGCGCACAGGACGAATGCTGACAGTATACTAACTAAAGCCACGTCACTATGATGACGTCAGGACCTACTTAGAATCACAGTGCACAGTTACTTATGCCGTCTCCCCTTTGTATTAGCTTCATGGTAGTACCTAAATACAAGTCACCTTAGAAAGAAATCCCACATTAATAAACATTTAACCCGTAGGTACGATTGAAATGTTTAGCTGTCTAAATGCTGTATTTTGGAGTAGGTACAAACAATTTGTACTTAAATAGATAGGAAAAATTATCACATTTTATAATAATAATCATCTGAATGCAAAGCAGTTGGATTTAAAATAATTGCAAATACGTGAAATTCTGCTAATTTTAACCTCACTTTTCTACCGACTTCAAAAAGGAGACGGTACTCAATGAGGGCGGGCATCCGCGACTTTTTCTGCCACCAGAGCGGCGCTACTTAAAAGTGAGGTATAATATTTGACAGATTTCATAGCAGGGAAGTTAATTTGTTCGGAAAATGTAAAGGTTAATGTTTATTTCTGTACTATTAACTATATTTTATATTAATAAGATTAAAAATAAATAAACCAAATGACAAATATTCATAAAAGTAGAAAAATTAAAAAAAGTTTAAAATGTGCAAAAAATTAACTGATAAACTGTTATTTTAAACAGACAGAGAAGTTATCTCAATTAAATGACATTGTGTAACAAAAAACTTTAACTCAGGTCAACTAGCGACAACTGGTGAGTTGAAAATTATTAGCCCTCATTCAACACCAATGGCGAATATATCACTCACCTTCGATTTGCCGACGATATAGTCCTTATGGCAGAATCGCTGCAGGACCTAAGCACCATGCTCGATGACCTCAATAGTGTCTCCCAACGGATAGGTCTTAAGGTGAACATGGACAAAACAAAGATCATGTTTAATGTCCATGTCACATCTATGCCGGTAGTTGTTGGGAGCACTAACCTCGAAGTTGTTGACGAGTATGTTTACCTGGGACAAATAGTCCGACTAGGTAAGTCCAACTTCGACCGAGATGTCAATCGACGGATTCAACTCGGCTGGGCAGCGTTCGGGAAACTACTTCACATCTTCTCGTCAGACATACCTCAAAACCTTAAAACGACTTTGTACAACCAGTGCGTGTTGCCAGTGATGACTTACGGATCTGAGACGTGGTCCTTCACTGCTGGCCGCATGAGGACGCTCAAGGTCGCTCAGCGAGCTATGGAGAGGGCTATGCTCGGGGTTTCTCTGCGTGATAAACTTAGAAATGAGTATATCCGCAGTAGAACCAGAGTAACCGACATAGCCCAACGGATTAGTAAGCTGAAGTGGCAGTGGGCCGGCCATATAGCTCGAAGAACCGACAACCGATGGGGAAGAAAGGTTCTTGAGTGGCAGCCTCGTACCGGTAGGCGAAGTGTAGGGCGAACCCCCACGAGATGGAGTGGACGACCTGGTAAGACATGCAGGAAGTTGATGGATGCTGGTGGCTCAGGCCCGTGCTTTGTGGCATTCCTTGGGGGAGGCCTATGTTCAGCAGTGGACTTATGAAAGGCTGTAATGATGATGATGATTCGACTGTATGTTTTTTTTATTTGTGTTACCTCATAACTTTTTACGGGGTGAACCGATTTTGATGTTTCTTTTTTTTATTTGAAAGCTGGTGCTTCACATGTGGTCACATATAAATTTGATCCATGTCAGACCAATAGTTTTTGAGTTATTCTTAATACTTTATATTGAAGTCGGTTGTATAAAATTTGAATTTTAAATTATGTATCGATACTATTTTATCGAAATGTTCTTAACAAGTAAAGCTACGCATGCATGCAGCCTGATTCAACTTAGTAATATATATTTTTTTAATTTTTGGTTATTGTAGCTAAATATTCTTCTAATCGTTTAAAAAATAATTTTTAATAGAATTAGGGTGACAAAGGTGCACACAGTTCATCTGATGGTAAGTGGATACTGTGGCAGATTTTCACAAAATATTGAAAAAAAAAATGGTTGAAAATAATAAATGGAGAAGAATTGTTCCCCAAAAGAAAATATTCTACTATATGCCTTGCTGCATATAGTAGAATATTTGCATGCAGCAAGACATATAGTAGAATATTTTCTTTTGGTGTTCTTCATACATTGAAGAAAAATGTTTTTCTCATAGAGGTGCCCACTGTGTAGTGGCGGTGTAAGAATATCCACTACCCCATATCATCCTGTGGGTGTCGTATGAATCAGAAGATGGGCATTAGCGGGTTCCTAATAACGACTAAAAATAAAAAATAAACTGCGGTTGTCAAGCCTGGCAACTATGGCAAATATCCCTTCTATGAAGCAATCTATGGTGGAGGCCTTTGTTCAGCAATGGAATTTAATTGGCTCTAACAATAACATAGAGGTGCATTCAGCAATAACAATACATCCAAATATAAACACTTGTTACTAAAATTACATATTGAAACTTGTTTTATTATTAGAATATTATTTTTTATTTATTATAGGTGAATTTACTGTGATTTTAACTGAATTTAAAAAAAATCTAAAAAATTGCTGTAGTCTTGATTAATATCTTTTTAATATACATTTTCTATCGCAGTTTGGTTTTAGTTACTAACTTTTAATTTATATACACGTCATAACACAGATATCATTGTTTAAGGGCAGCGTTTCTTTCAGTGACAATTTTGATGTTTATGTATGAACTAAGTGGTAGGACCCCATTTCTGTCTGGGGGGTCATCTGGGTAGGTATTACCCTCTTACCTAAGACATCTCAGTCTGTAGAGGTGATAACGATCTTCTTAGTTTGACGTTAGCTGCAAGTTTCCATGGGCTGCAGTAGCCATTTATTGTCTTCAGGTAGACTTTAAGTTCGTTCTATACTTCAGTTTTATTAAAAAAAAAACCTTAACTAATAAATCCTAATAAAATAAAAATTAAATTATAACATGTATTTTCGGAATGTCGAGAATATTCTCTCGAGTATATTCTGAATTACACCTTTTGTTGGATCGCAGACACAATATTTGAATATTTATTTAATTAGTATAGCCATTCAGCGAGGAATCGTAGCTAGCGTTCTTGGAACGATACCACGGTATGTGGGACTGTATGATAATTTAAGTTTTTAGTTATTCTTATATTTATAGTTTTTTAAAATATTAAAAATCACATACAATAGTATGTGTTTTAATGTTTCATAATGTTGACAATAAGCTGCCATTTTAGTTTTTGTGTGACTTCATGCATCTTAAAACACGCGAAAGGGCACAATGCTTTTAAAGATAATATCTAATTTGTCAATATACGACGAGTAGTTTAAAACAGATGAACATACATACATAGTACATAGCCTTCTAAAATTGTAACCATCTTTTGGCTTTGTCATGGGTGGGTAAAAATATTAACTTAAATCATCTGCGCCAAATCAGAAGACACGAATATACTACAATCTGTATCGATAATTATAGTTGAGGCAAGCAATGCATGGTGCAGCACTATGTGTCACCCACACCTGCACATTACACGCACACTGGTTTATTTTGATTTTGGTCTCGCCTTAATCACTCCATTGCCAATCTATACTATACTATATCTATGCTAAATACTGAGTGTCAATCCGTACCACGATCATGTCGCGATGATAACATTCTACCTAAAGTACTCTGCTGAACTATGAGCCTCGCCCATAGATTCCCTCATAAGGGGATATTTGCCATAGTTGCCACGCTTAACGAGCGGGTTGGCAACCGTAGTTTGTTATTTTTATTAGGAACATGCTGCTACCCATCAGCTGGTTCACTTTTCCTCTGTCGCCTCTTACTATACTCACGAGATATAAGGAGTAGTGTATATACATGGTTAAGAGTGACAATCATAAAATTTATTCCTTTATTGCGTTCCAAATATGTATGCCCATTAATGTAAAATTTAAGTGCAATATTCTGTATGAGTTTTAACCAATTGAAAGTGTGTATATTATAAAATTAATCAGATGTATGATTATGTACATATCAAATTTAAAGCGAGCTGTTGAATAAATAAATTTAAAAACAGTTATTTATATTGCTTTTCAATTTTCATAGCACGAACAATTCATTAACATCAAAGAGCCTTCTTTAAGTGAGATCGAAGGTGGAACTCCAGATAGTGGCATTGGCTTGGATCATATGGATGGTAAGTGTAACTTTTGTTATATTAACTTTATTAATCATTTTTAATCAAATGTCTTACTCATAACTAATGCGGATAACTACTCTTATCACCTGTTTGTTTGTGTAACTGAAGGTTTGAGTAAATTTGTGTCTCCAGCGCGTATTTTGACACCCCATAAAACAATATTATAGAAAATGAAAACTTCTTTTACACAACTCCTTTTTAGGGTTCCGAGCCAAATGGCAAAAAACGGAACCCTTATGGATTCGTCATGTCTGTCTGTCTGTCCGTCCGTATGTCACAGCCACTTTTCCCGAAATTATAAGAACTATGCTGTTGAAATTTGGTAAGTAGATGTATTCTGTGAACGGCATTAAGATTTTCACACAAAAATAGAAAAAAAAAACCAATAAACTTTGGAGGTTCCCCATACTTAGAACTGAAACTCAAAATTATTTTATCACCAAAACCATACGTATGGGGTATCTATGGATAGGTCTTCAAAAATGATATTGAAGTTTGTCATATCATTTTTCTTCTAACCTAAATAGTTTGCGCGAGAGACACTACCAAAGTGGTAAAATGTGTCCCCCCCCCCCTGTATTTTCTAAAATAAGAGAATGATAAAACTAAAAAAAATACATGATGTACATTACCATGTTAACTTCCACCGAAAATTGGTTTCAACGAGATCTAGTAAGTAGTTTTTTTTAATACGTCATGAATCGTAAACCGCAATTTACCTTTCATTCAATCAACTCAAATATAAAGATAAAAAATACATTATTATTAAAACATCGATCAAAGTTACAACGAACTACAAGAACTTTTATATTATGTTACTTGCTGCTACGGAACCCTTCATGGGCGAGTCCGACTCGCACTTGGCCGCTCTTTATTAGTACACAACATGTTGTCCTGCTACCAATATATTTGCTAAGTCTTAATAAAAGTCCAGAAAAAAAAGGGAGTTATTTCTCAGCGCAATGTCACATAAATTACACAAAAAAAGACATTGATTTTAATGATCATCTCAAATCAAATATTAGTAGTAACATATAATAAAAATCATGTATGAATAATTTAAGTTACAGCCAACTACAACTATAAATGTTTATTTACCTACATGATGTAGAATGCATTATATGCACTAAGTGATAATTTAGTTAACAATTTAATAAACAAATATTCTAAAGAGATTAAATTTTAAATAATCCCCGATTTTTTTAATTAATATTTTTGAGAACATAATAAAGAAAGCTAAAAAAAAATTGATTCTAGTGAAACTACATGATCAGAAATAGAAATGTTTGAATTATTGTAAACATAATTCCCACAACACAAAAGAATAATTTGTTTAGTGTTAGATGATAATATTTTTGGTTGATTTAACACCAGGCTTTCCAAAAATATTTCTACTTTAGCTTCTTCCATGCGCCGCCGTTTACTACTACTTTACTGCATTTCACGGTTTCGCGAACTTCTAAATTAATTAGTTCGCTTGATGCAAATAAACACGATTGCATGAAGTTTTTTCAACTTATTTTTAATAGATGATATAAATGAGTTATGTTTTATTAATTCCCCATTTTTTATATAACAAAATTTATTTTTCATATATATTTTTTTATTACTATTGGTTAATAGTTAATGTGCAATTTACCGAACATCAGATCGGTTTACAAAAGGTTAAACATTTTGTTACTATGATTTTCGTTTTTCGATTAGTTCGTTTTGTATTCTAGTAAAATTCAAAAACATCAATAAGGCTGAATTTACATTGCGGCGGGATTGAATGGAACGGAAGCGTCTATTTCGCCTCGTCTGTGGGAAAGGCGCGCGAAACAAAAAGAAAATGATGAGAAAAGAAAGAATATTACAAAAAGGAAAAGAAATATTTGGGTTCATGATTCATGGAAGAAATGAAAACGTCACCCTTCGTGACACTTTCCGCGGATCCCACAGACTGCGCCGACACTAGCTACGGAATTCTCGAGAATGCGCGAGAATTCCACGGAACACAACATAAAATTCATTTTACTACTTTTACTATTTCGTTACAAAAATTCGCTTCCGTTCCTTTCCGCGGCAATGTAAATTGAGCTTAAAGATCTATGATTACATAATAAAATGTTCACAAAAACTATGTTAAACCAAAAAATAAACAGCATACATTATTATTTCGCCTTGTCGTGTTGTGACGGTCTAATTTATATTGTATCAAAAGAAAAGCCAAATTTTACACATAAAATGAAATAAAGTAATTCTAATTTAATTTTCTTATAATATACTAGCGATCCACCCCAGCTTCGCACGGGTGATTTTTGGATCTCAACAACAATGCTACCTACCCGGCATAGCTCGCCATTGGCTTAGGTCAGTTTCAGGAATTGCATGTTGTGAGTCACTCGCGCTCGCACTTAGATTACCCCATTTTTCAACTAAACGTAACGCATTGTATCACCATCCAAAAAAAGTAGTAATAACGGTAACAAAACAAAAAAAAACATTAGAATATCATAACTATAATTCACAAATGAATGACATTTACAGATTATTTACGCAAAATAACAGATGACATTATAAACCAGCAAAATTAGAAAAACCCTACCATCATAAGTTATCAAGGGATTAAGTTTTATTTTTAATATGTTAAATTAAAAATGAAATTAAAAACGTTCCCGGTATTGTCCACCCCTCTTTCTTTTATTTTTTTATTCTTTAGTATTTTAAACAATATATAATACTATATCTAAACAGTAACCACTTAATTTCATGTGATAAATAACTAAAATGATTACAAATACGTGTGACAGTTGGTGCATATATAGATTACAAAAAATTTCGCATCAATCTTAACTTTAACATGTTTATTGTACTTTTGTTACAAAGTGTGCGTTATAAAAAACCTTTTTTAACTTATGTATAATGCTATTTTAAATAGAGTATATGTATATACTCTATTATATATGAGTCTTCCTTATGTGCGCAATGGAACCCCAAACCCCTGGCCATGAGGCCAAGAAAAACGAGCATTTGGAAGCACCAGCCTTCCTGATCCCAGCGGCGGATCTGGTCTATGGCTCCGCCGCAAACCAAGTTTCAGCCGTGGAGGCTAGGGAGAGTGATGCCTTGCAATACCGCAATGCTCCTCTTCTCCAACAGCTTAACCACCACCGATCTACAATGCGGCCGCGCCAGAGTCGCGAAAGATAGAGCGAGTGGCGCTAGTCATACTAACACTCCTCTCCCCTCGCGACTCCGCCTCGGTTGCGGCGGTAGGAGAGGTCACTCCTCTCGCTGCAGTCTATCAACACATAAAAATGTGGGTGACCAAGTCACGGCTACTAAGCCCGAGGACAAGGCGGGAACCTATATGGAAAAATGCCTACGCATACTCGCCTGGCAAGGGCAAAAGAACGGGTTATGTCGTACTCGCACCGACTCGAATCCCACGGTGTTTAAACGTCCGTTTATAAAGGCAGGACGAAGTTTTCGCAGTCATCCGGCCGTACCAGGGCAAGCCGCCGCCAGGGGCCCTTTCTCGGGAGGGGACGACTGCTTCCCCCGTTCTTCTTCTCAGACAAATCACGCCGAAACACAGGCCTGCCTTCTGCATGACCTTGATCTCCACGTACGCAACGGCCCCACGAATCCGTTATGCAGAGGCAGAGGGCATGTCGTCAGAAAAACAGCTCTTCCGGGAAATGCGGCCCTTCTCGACTCCAGCGGCGGATCTGGTCTATGGTTCGGCTGCGGACTACGTTTAGTCCGGGGAGGTTAGGGACAGCGAAATAATATGCTATGCTAAGATGTTGTGTGTAATTCATGCATGTCGTTTGAAACGTCAAGTCACTTTGGTCTTTTATACTTTACTAATTAAGTAAGTACACTCGTAAGTTCTGATTTACTAGACAAAGTGCCATCTTTATGTATCGATCTATACTCAATAGCCAAAAGTGCCGCCAATTTTTTTGACATGACATGCAATTTTTTAATGTTATCACCTATAAGAGGGTTGAGCCCTTTTAGAAATCAGAGGTCTCTATCCAGCGGTGGGCAGTGTATAGGCTGTAACTTCGCTTTTTTTACTTACTCGTATTTCCTCTGAAACAAATTTTCCGATTACTACTTATTGTTACCATTTGATTGCAATAAAGATTATGAATTATGAATTACGATTAAACTTCGCAAATATAATCTATGTAGTATGAACAGTTCATAAATTTATTATAATGTCTCGAGCTATTTTCATTGACTCGCTGATCAAAGCAAAGCTGGCATTGCTTACACGTTATATTAAAAACAAGAGGAAGTGGCACAGAGCATGTTTTCTACCGGAACCAATATAGCAAAACTCACACATTAGTAATAACATGTGCCCCACAGGCTGTCTTAGCGGTAGCCGGTATTAGTGCCCGGTGGACCAACCGCATGTGCTCCACGCTCATAGAATTCTAATTACGACTTTCTACTCGCGCGAGGCCAGCTACGGCGCTTAAAGCTGAGCTTCTTCTCTCACGTTGCCAACTTCATAGTTTTTCTGGGCTGGTTTTTGGGAAACTCCTCAGACCGACTGCATTTTTTCGCCTTCGAATCTGAGGGAGGTTTGGGCAAAGGAATTTCGGCCCAAGGCTTCTGGCAGAAAAAAAGGGCCTCTTCGGCTCCTATCTCAGCTGTTAGGCTTGTAAGGCCAAGCGAACTTTTTCCTGTCCCTTACCTGGTTCATTTCCGATGGTGGTTCGTTTGCAGACGTGCCCTCCACTTCACGGCTCGTCCCATGCAAGACGTAGAGCCGTAAGGCGTTTTTTCAATTTCCGATACCAATATATCGTCAACAACACCGTTAGAAACTTATTCATACCGCGATTCGGTGCCAATATCGTAGCCATAATACAGTTTATGTATGATTCGCCAATTAATGCAGGTAAATCTTTTCGACCATACACCCCAGTATTCAATATTCTTAACAAAGCAAGAAAAAACTGGAGATTTAGAGATGCCTGGACTAGATTCCCTTA